AACAGTGTTGCCTTTCATGAATGATGAAAAGTGATTTATTTGATTGTATTATTTTTCTAACTCAAACCCGCCCTTTAACACAACTTCAAAACCAACATTGGTGTACCACAGTGCTGTTTGTCATGATCTCTTCAACAAAGTGCCCAAGCCCAGATCGGGCCGTATTAACAGACCGTCAATTAGAATGTGAAACTGCACTGGGTGCTGCGTATTAGTTTTTAGCGACTAAACGCTTGGGAGAGAGGTGACCTAGAATCGAGCCTTGTGGTGCACACGAGAGTGTTCATGTTCTCATCGTCCTCTCAGCTCCCACTTTGGAGACGCGGAGAGAAAGCGCGCTCATTAGATCTATGTGCTGAATCTCCCTCTCCAATTCTCCCATCCTCCCCCCAACCTTCATCTCTGTCTCTGGTTCGTTCTCTCTGTCCGTCTGCTGAACAGATGGGAGGGTCACGGCTACAGCGCTTCCCCTCCCCCTGGAGAGGCATGGTGCCTGTTCAAAAGATCCCTTTTTTTGCTTCACTCTATATCCTTCTTGTATATATGTATCTGTGTGTTCCTCTCCCTTTCCGCCACCCCTATCGTTGTCACCTGTCCAGCTCCAAGCCCACGGAGCCCTGATATTGAACAAGCAGAGGAGCAACTGTTGTCTGTCTGTCTTCATGGTGCCTCTGCCTACTTCGACATTAACAGGCGCCCACCAAGGCCGTCTTCCAACAAGCGCACAATTACTTGCCAGATTAGAAAATTTCAGTGCCGAGCTTTATGTTAAGTCAACTGCCTTAAGGTCTATTTTTTTTCTTTTTTTTGCGCGCTCTTTGCTCACCTCACCTGCCCTCACGAAATCAGAGGACCCTTGTGAAAAATTCCTCCAGAGGATTTACTGCCATGTGCCACGTGACCCTCGCTCACTAAGCGGCGCTTGTTTCCCCGGCATTTCCCCTCCGTATCGCCACCGTGGCTTCACCAGGCCAAATTGGATTGAGCCATTCACTCGGTAATCTGTTAACCGATGCTCTATCAGTACATGGGGAGGCAGAATTGGAGATGCCACGGGTGGGCAATGTTCGCATATCCAGGAGCGGCCTGGCATGCATATGGGACGGGGGCAGGTGTGAGGAAGAAAAAGGGGCGTAGGGGAGCTGGCGGTGATGTGTAGGAGGAGGTAAAGGTGGTGAAAGTGCAAAGGGATGAGAGGGAGGAGGTGGTGGTGGTGGTGGTGCAGGATTTAAGGGGAGCGCTCGCACGGCTTCTCCTCAGGGAGCGCCGCATGGCTAGCACTGGGAGCCAAAAGCAGGGATTACATGTTCAGGACACGGGCTTTGTCTTCATGTTACATAAGGCCTAAGGTGTTGCCCCAGCGGGTGTTGACATTGAGAGGTTCAGCTCTGCTCACGAGTGCTTTGGGAGAATTGAGGAGGAGGTGGTAGAGGCCAGGAGGCAGGGATCATTGAAGTAACCCCTGGCTTTTTGGAGCCCTGCCCGAGCTGGCGAGTGTTGAACTACAAAGGCTGGGAGGGGATGATGCTGTCAGCCTGTGATTGAGGTACGCTGCTGGCTTGATTGATACGCTTGTCTGGCTTTCTTGTGCCAAGCGCTTTCGTTGGCTTGTAATCCCAGTTTGTCTGACAACATCCCTCTTTGTTTCCTTCCAGAGGGCATCGCTTTGTTTTTTTTTTCTGTCTTTAAGGATGGGCGTGTTTGCACAAAAAAATGTTCTGGCTCGCCTCCTCAGAACTGACAGAGTTATTTTAGATCTTATTATTATTTCCCCAACTGCCAAGCATGCTTTGCATCTACATCCCATTTCTCCGGACTATCAGATAATTGACAAACATATCAAGTTTTTTTCCATTAACTATTTCATCTTGTTTTGGTGCAGGATTTAAGGGGAGCGCTCGCACGGCTTCTCCTCAGGGAGCGCCGCATGGCTAGCACTGGGAGCCAAAAGCAGGGATTACATGTTCAGGACACGGGCTTTGTCTTCATGTTACATAAGGCCTAAGGTGTTGCCCCAGCGGGTGTTGACATTGAGAGGTTCAGCTCTGCTCACGAGTGCTTTGGGAGAATTGAGGAGGAGGTGGTAGAGGCCAGGAGGCAGGGATCATTGAAGTAACCCCTGGCTTTTTGGAGCCCTGCCCGAGCTGGCGAGTGTTGAACTACAAAGGCTGGGAGGGGATGATGCTGTCAGCCTGTGATTGAGGTACGCTGCTGGCTTGATTGATACGCTTGTCTGGCTTTCTTGTGCCAAGCGCTTTCGTTGGCTTGTAATCCCAGTTTGTCTGACAACATCCCTCTTTGTTTCTTTCCAGAGGGCATCGCTTTGTTTTTTTTTTCTGTCTTTAAGGATGGGCGTGTTTGCACAAAAAAATGTTCTGGCTCGCCTCCTCAGAACTGACAGAGTTATTTTAGATCTTATTATTATTTCCCCAACTGCCAAGCATGCTTTGCATCTACATCCCATTTCTCCGGACTATCAGATAATTGACAAACATATCAAGTTTTTTTCCATTAACTATTTCATCTTGTTTATTTTTATATTTTCCCCACATTCTTTGCTCCTTCATAATAAGAATTACTCCTGAAATCAATGTATTTAATGTAAGCGTGAGCACGGTGCAGGCATCACAGTGAGCTCTCCTTGCAGGACACTTCATTAGGTACACTTTCATGTTTTACTGCAGGTATTCCCAAACCAGGGATGCAAAACTTTGATTTGGCGTGAAGCAGTGTGGAAACATATTATTACATGTTAAACTAAGGGTTTCACTTTCTAAGGGTATGGGGCAAAAAAAAAAAAAAAAAGAATATTGGAACCAATGGAAAAAAATAAAAGATTTTATTATTATTTTTTTTTTTTACGTCTGATATGTGTAAGTTGTGCACCGCTATATATTCTTGCACTTGTGATTTGCACTTGAACGTTTTTGGTGACCCGTTGATCATAAACAACCCTCAGTAAGATAGCACACAGTTCTGCAACACACCAAAGCGCCGTGTTTTACGTTGCGTGTAAAGCCGTATTGCTCGTGCATGCGCAGGCCGTGGTGGGTGTCCCTATTGCATACTTTCATTATCAATGTCCTACTAGTGGAAAAAAAGAGGTCAAGTGCGTATAGCTGTGTGCTGTGTTCACCTCAGGGGTTTAAAGCATTCTTCTGCTTTCTCATGCATGTTACTCAATAAATACATGGATTCGGGTTGGGGGGGAGATGAGGAGAAAAGAGGAGAGGGGGGTAAGGGAAGTGCTGTACAGTGTGCGAGTGTTTGTGTGTGTGTGTGTGTGTGTGTGTGTGTGTGTGTGTGTGTGTGTGTGTGTGTGCGTGTGTGTGCGTGTGTGAGTGTGTGCACATGTGTGTGCGTGTGCGTGCGCGCAAAGGAGAAAATGTGAGAAGAGCGATGAAGAGAGCAAGGGTGCATGAGAGAAGAGAGAAAGAGTGATCGAGAGAGAGACTGTCATGTCTTTTGGTGAAGCGGTGTCGTCTTCCACATCAATGTCTGATGCTCGTGCTGCCAGGTGCCGGAAATCTGGTTCAGAAAGGAGAGAAGAAAGAGAAGATGGAGAAAAAAGGCCGGGTAGATGGAGGATTTTTATTTTTTTATTTTTATGTGATGGCACTGACAGCTTCCCTGCATTGCACTGAGTTTAAATAATGGGATGCTCATTTGCATAACGAGGGACGTTATCACCTCTACTGTCAAAAGAAAACACAACAACAGTTCTTGTGCTCCTCCCTTAGATAGATTGGGTTGGCCTACTTAGGCACCTCCAGAGAGATGCGCCGAAGCTCGGGCTTAGCCGAGCTCAAATAAAAAAAAAAATTAAAAAAACGCGCACATGCACACTCACGGAAACTTTTTGGGGCGCGCACGACACAAAGTCCAGCTCGGCAGCTTTGGACCAAGAACAAGTGCATGCGCAGTATACACAGATTGAAAATTCACGCTGGAATTTAGTTTGAATGCTACCTCACAAAACTTTTATTTTTCCAGACCTTTCAAATATTCAGCAATTGTCTTATTTGACCTCTTATGTCTTTTGTTGAGCCAGAATGGGACAAGGCATAGTTCAAGTCTCCATCTGAATTCCTTCAACTGCGGCACTGGTTCCTTTTGCACTGTTGGCATGTGATTAACAACCACTCAACACCTCATTCCCAGCCAATATATATACGGTTTCGCCAGCATAATGGATAGAGGTAGAATTGATTACATTCTCCCACCCCAATGGAATATTTGTAGTAAAAAAAAAAAAAAAATGAAATAAATAGATTTTTTTTTTTTAATCAAATGTCCAAAAATGAGTTCACCTTTCACCCTAAGTCATCCGAGAGAGCCTTCAACTCGAGCATTTTAAAACTCATTCACTGGCAGCCATTTTCAGACCCTTTTTTACACTAGCACATGATTTTTTATTTTTATTTATTATTATGATTTTTTTTAATACAAGAAGACGGAGCTGGGATTTGAGTGCCTGGACACTTAAAACAAAATTATCAATTTTAAGTGGTACAGAAAATGTATGGAATTCACATTTTGGATATGATGGCACAGAAGTGAAAGTGGGGTAAAGCCGGATGCTAGCTTGACTGTCAGTACAGTGAAGTTTTACAGGAGGAAGTGAAAAGGTTTGCTCAGTCTGGAGGTAATGTTACAGTGCTAGTGATTAGAGCGTTTAAGTTAGCGGCACTTCCAAAACACTGTCAAACTCTCTGTGAACGAGGCGAGATCCTGACAGCGCTGTCTCCTCTCATAGTCTGTGCCGGGAGAGCGAGACCAAAAGAAGCAAAAACTGATTTGCATGATATCGACAGTGAAAAACACAGCCGCTCTCACAACATTGTTGACAGATTCTTTGTCTTTCGTCGCCCTCCCTAGTGGCTGCCGTGATGCCACTTTTATATATTTCTTTTCATTCCTCTCAGTATTTTGCCATATTTCATTTCATTTAATGCTCATCCTCTGCTCCCCCCTCCCTCTCTTCTCTCTCTGTCTTGCAGGTACAGATGCTGGAATCTTTGAGTTGATTGGAACAAATAGAAAGCCGGTGAGAGAGAGAGAAAGAGAGTGAGAAAGAAAGAGCAAAAGAGAAACAAGAGGAAGAGCAAAGAAAGAAGAGAAGAGAGAAGCACGCATCAACTTTTGGTTTGAAGAGATTTAGGGGACGAGGAGAAACAGAAAGCGACGGGGACGATGGGGAGGAAAAAGATTCAGATCACGCGGATTATGGATGAACGCAACAGACAGGTACGTCTCTGGGGAATGGGAGGATGGATGAGTGCGAGGGTGGGGAGAAGTGGAAAAAGCGGGGGGCAGGGGGGGGTGAAACACCCTACACACCCACACACAACCCTCAACAATGAAAATCTTTCGGGAGTCTGAGCAATATGAAATTGGGGGACAAGGGAGCGAATGCCAGCAGAGCAGAGTTATTGCTTTGGGGGTGAAGTGTTTTCTGGCTTCTAATGACAAGGCTTGTTTCCCTCACCTCACCAGCCGGGCAATCTGGTAGGGGGAAAAGGTGTTTCCGGTGAGAATATTCTCAAGACTTCAATCCCATTCTGCATATCAGCATTAAAAGTTCACGGAAGCAGACGGGAGTGGGACTATCCAGGAGACAAATAAAAACATTGTGCAGCCATTTTTAATGTAGCTAACCTACAGAATGGGAGCAGTGCTGGGGTGAAAGTCATTCTGAATGGGAACAGGATGGGATTATGAGTTGTTTTCACTGGGATCAGGATGGGACAGGATTTTTTTTTTTTACTCTGGTCCAGGACTGGGACAGGACAAGATTTTTTTTTTTTTCTGTGGAAGTGGAATGGGACGCGAGTAAAAATCCTCCTCGTTCCATCGTTCATGATCATTGTTTAACTAACAGTAGCAAATGTTTGCAAAACAGTTCTTTTCATTCACAAATGCAAGACAGCATGTGACCATGGGTGCATGATTCGTCCGTCGCATTTGAGCGCATTCGCCAGTCGGTGAGGTATCAGCACCCATTCTTCACATTGAACCTCATGCCAGGTAAGAGGAAACAAGACATATAGGAAGGGAATGACCCCTCGGGGGGGCGTTTGGGGACGTTGTGGACGAGGAAGAACTCCCTGTTGCTGCTGAACTGCCCTCTGCTGCAGGCGCTGCTGCTGCTGAACTCCCAGTTTACTTCTCTGCCTCATCCTCTGTAGAGGGTGAGGAAAAGGAGAGGTTGAGTTAGCGCATCTTTTCATTGGGTTGCGTCCATAGATTGGCCAGTACTTCAAGGAGTCGGCAAAAGGTTCCCCTATAGTCGCAGAGGAGTGGCAAATAGTAGCTAATCTTCACAATCCTGTCCCAAATCGTCGCTATTTGTCTTGACCAAACACTTTCCCCAAACATTCGCTTGTTGTCTCGAAGTATCGCTTCAAGTTGCAAAATGTTGCCAATGACAGAGGTAACCCGCTGATTTTGGTCAACATTTGTCAGAAAAGTTGGGGAATCCAACATTCTCTAGCCTCACAAGCATTCGCCCCTCAGTGAGGTGCCCACTCAAGACATTTTGGGCAATTGCATGATTCCAACTTTCCTCAACCAGTTGCGAAACCCAATGCACAAAGAGACTGCCATGAAGGTAAGACTGGTGTGTAAAAATTTGACCTCAATCCCATCAAGCATCTTTGGGATGAACCACAACAGAGATGGTGAGCCGTCAATGCTCTCAGTTCCCAAAAACAACAAAAAAATTCCCACAGACATCATCTGTTTTGGCTTGGAGACCAACAATTTTTTTTTCTCTCCATTTTCACTTGGTGTATATCTCCATGTCCCGACTTTTCAGCCCAGCGGCACATGTCATTCCTATAAATCGATGCAGGTGCCTCATCATGCATTTCTTGAAAAATTGGACTTTATGACTCGTGCCCACTCTAAGGTCCACGGCTGCAGAAAAACACAAAGAGAGCACTCCATCCCGGGTGCCCTCGAGGCACTCAATCGATCACTTCCTGGGCTCCAACTGACCACTGACACTTTTTCAGCTTTCCGACATTCCAAATTGGATCCATACGCATCAGTCGTGGCCCCTGGATCACAGGTCAAAAACACACACATTCGGACCAGCTTCAGGCCTTTCTTAATTCTCTGACATAAGTCTGACACCGTAATGCTTTCTTCAGTTCTTCTTTGTATCCGGCTCAGTCATCTGCAGAGTCACTCTAGGTATAAAAATAAAATGGCTCTTGGAATCGATTCGTCAGTGCTGGAGGTGTCCTTTTGACCTGACTGGTCTCTATGAATGGGATTCCAACTAACACATAGATACGAGAAAGTGGGTGCACCTGAGATAAAAAAAAAAAGAAGCTCTCAGTAATTCCATTGGTTGTGACACACCATTCGCTCTTTGGAAAAAGAGATGAAGCAGCGTGGAACATCACTTTGTCATCGTCATCGAGCGACCGAAGCAACGGGAGAGGTCACAGAGTTCCCAACGAGGACTCGAGCTATCGTGTTGCAGCAGCACCCTCGCTTCCGCCTTGCTGTTATCTCAGCCCTTCTCTCACCTTAGACTGAGTCCGCCACATGCAGCAGGCCATCCGGCTCCTGAGGATAAGGAGGGAAAGAGGGAGACAGGAAGGACACCTGAGGGGAATCGATGCCTGAGATATCCGGGCTTTACTTACAGAGGGGAGAGAGAAACAGAGAGGCAGAGGAGAACGGGTTCAGGGAAAGGAGAGTCAATAAACCACGGGATTTTGTTCTTCGGATTTCTAAAATGATAAATAAGGCGTGATTAAATGATGTCATGAAATCGTGCGGGTGGGTCACATGATCAGTGCAGCACATTGTGTTCAGCGTCTTCCCATATATGGCATGTGTGAATGACATCACTGCGTTAGACAGCATCACAAGACAGACCAGAAACTCCAGCCTTCTTAAAAGGGGAAAAAAAACAGAAGTCGAATTTTGCATATTTTCACTTCCTTCTTGAGAAAATGCCACCGCGGCGCAAGCCAAGTAAACACAAGTGTTTGTATAGAGCCGCTTTCAACCTCACATTCTTCGCATACTTCCACTCTTTTCATTCATCTTAATGGAACAGATCGTGTTATTCAAGATTGGTTTCAAGTATTTGGACGGCATACTTGATATCAACTGCAGACTTTAATGTGCTTCCTTTGTGTTTAACAAAAGAATGGATTGTACTTTATGAGTCACTAACCAAACACTTCTGAACCCCTGAGAAAGGGAGGTACCCCGCCTGTCACCCAAAGTCAAGCTGGGATAAACTCCAGCATACCTGTGACCATCATGAAGATAACTTAACTCACTCAATTTAATTTATAGAGCATACAAACTGCCGTGCATAAAGTAAAAATCCGACATACGAAAACACCGACAGTCTAAGCAGTAAACACAACGAAACAATGCCGAGACTCATCTTGAGTTGAAAGCCAAGGAATAGAAATGTGTTTTAAGACAACATTTAAAGCCGGACAGAGAGGGAACCTTGCCTAACGTTGAACGAAGGTCATTGTATAGGGAAGACCCGGCAACGGAAAAAGATCAATCCCCTCCGAGTCTCCGCTTAGTCCTCGCTACCCCCAGTGGGTCTGTTCTGCTGACCTGAGGAAGGGGGCAGGTACGTTGAGGTGGAGGAGCTCAGAAAGGTAAAGTGGGGCGAGACCATATAAAGATTTAAAGATCAATAAAAAAAAAAAAAATTTAAAAATCTTAAAATGTACAGGGAGATACCACAGCACAAAATATGGATGACGAATGTACTTGCGCTTTATACCTACATATACAAGTGAATGGGATTCTGAACAACGTACACAGCACAACACACGTGCCAAAAACTCCTAATGGAAAGTTTCCCCCCGAATTCTTTGCACTTTCCTGCTCCAACTTTATGTTGGCGGGGCAAAAAAAAAAAAAAAAAAAATCTGCTTAAATGTCATCACCACTATGCCACCTACCTTGCTTCCCTCCCCGCCATGCAGCCGCGGCAGCACGGCTACGGGCACCGCGCCAGTCTCTCCCTGGGCGGCCACTTTGGGCTGCCACCCCGGGCCCCCCCAAACACTTCCCCAGGGCCGAGGCAGAAGGGCCAGGCCTCCCTGTTGTTGACTGGCTGCCCAAAGCTCCGGACAGTGGACAGCAGTGTGTGAGGCCTGGCTCTGAGCCCCCTGACCACTCAGACCCTCTCCCTGCCTCAGACACATAAAAGAGCCCCTCATGGACTGCACACGGAAAGCAGACCCACACATGCAATATACAGCCACAGGTGTGTGTCTGTGTGTGTGTGTGTGTGTGTGTGTGTGTGTGTGTGTGTGTGTGTGTGTGTGTGTGTGTGTGTGTGTGTGTGTGTGTCTGTGTTTAGATTCGACACATTGCAGATTAATTCATTTCGACATTTTGATCGATGGTGAATTTAATTTGTTCGTGAAGGTGGCCGCTTTCAAAAACAACAAACGGGCCAACATTATGACCACTTGCCTGACTTACTTATGTCCAATATAAGAACAGGACCAAATGTACCACCCGCGTCTACTACTTTGGATACGTCAGTTAGTTAGGACATGATAAAGTCAAAAATATTTGAAACAGCTTTCTCTCGTTCTCTCTCTCTCTGCGGCCACAAGAATGTTAAAACCTCTCTGGCAGTGTCAATCAAAACTGGACATGTTTGTCAAGGCCTAATATGACATGGAATCCTTTTCGTGTTGTCGCTGGTCCATGTATAAAGTATGAACAGCATCATCTATCTGTTCTAGAGCCAGTCTGGGGAGCAAGTCATTTACTCCAATTGGCCTTAATTTGTGTTGCCTCTCTAGTGTGCTCGGAGGGCGAAATTCAGGACGACTTTTTTGCCCGTTTGTGTGTGTGTGTGTGTGTGTGTGTGTGTGTGTGTGTGTGTGTGTGTGTGTGTGTGTGTGTGTGTGTGTGTGTGTGTGTGTGTGTGTGTGTGTGTGTGCGTGCGTGTGCGTGTGTGTGTGTGTGTCTTAGGATGGAGACATTAGGGTTCCAAGGAGGATGCGAGGCCAAAGGTTAAAGATGAAGCAGGTCATCAGTGTCAGGAAGTGAAATAACGCCCTCTCCCAGCTTTCCACCCCCAAACAATACATGCACAGTTATGCCTTTAGGAACATATAAAAGTTTTTTTTTCTTTGTTCCTCTGACAAATCCTTAATCCAATCAATGGTGCCAGGGTGAGAACATGTGCTGGTGAAATTAACAGCAGGGAAATAATGAGGCCCGCAGGGTATCTC